CAATATGTAATTAGATCGCGTTACTTTGCATGATCAATCGCGCACAATATGCCTGTATTAATAAATTATTACTATTCGAAATCATTTCATCTGGCTGTTGGAGAGAATTCATTGCACCACCACATAACAGCAACTGATGAATGCTCCATAGCATATTTTGCATCCATAAATTACATGTTAAAATTATGGCGGCTATGATTAATGAAGTGTGTCAAATACACACATACACATGTACGCGGTACGTTCACAATGCATATATACATTTAAAACTTCGTAACGCAACTTCTAATATAATTATTACCGTTAACTTAGAGATTGATGCTGTGTTAAGATTTTTTTTTAAAAGATTTCCTCTCGATAAGCGATCGTAATTTTTTTAGAATCATATTTTAGCGAATATAATCCAAATTGATATATCCCTTACTAATATTCCATTCTCTTGTGTTCGCGAACGAGATCGATATTTAAAAAAGGATTTTTCAGAAAGCTTTTTTCTGAATGAAAAATTGAAAAATTTTCATTCACGTTTTTCCACGCAGAGAGTAATGAAGTAGTGCACCGATACGCAATTAAGAACCGGCCCGACGAGTGTCTCGATTAACATCACAGTGTTAAGTCTAGAAGCAGCTCTCGTGATTTCCACGCGGATAATTTACAAGGACGAAAGCGGAGGGTCGTTATTAGGGCATAATTTGCGAGACAACTCGAAGTTGTTGGCCGTGCGGCACGAGACAGGTACGATCGACGATGGATTTATCGTCGACTTATTGTTAGCGCTTGTTAAGCGGTCAATAGGAGCGATGAATTTGCAGATATAATCTCGTGGCGCGATAATTGTTTAACGAGCCGTTTCAATGTTGAACTTTCGTCTCGCGTTCCTGTGTCTCGAGTAGACCCCGAACACGTGTTTAATAACTGATAGATTCTGCCATAGATTTCTGTTAGCTGCGCACGTCTGATCAACAGACTTATTACACACGATGTAATTAGTTCTCTACGATTGGAAGTATAAGTCGCGCTTGTATCTTAACCAAGATATTAATGATTCAATGCGCGCAGCGTGCGGCAACTTCTATTCTGAGTTTCCAGAGTGACGACTCCGACGTCTAATGAGGAGATCTCAGAAATTTTAACTGGAAATTTATGGAGTTTCGAAATAAAAAGGGATTCAAGATTTTCAATATACGAAAATATATATTTTTAGAACTGTCTAATCTTAAAAAGAATCTTTCATCCTTCTTTTCTCATAAGTTATACAGAGTATCCATTACACGAGCACTTTCTGATAACAATCTAATTACACTAAAACGCTAAAATTGTTTTTACAACAATTTAATAATTTCTTTCTCATAGCACCAATCACTACGTTAATTGAATGCAATCTTTCTTTCTGTGAAATAAAATGTCAAGAAAAGAATTATAATCGGTAATTCTTTTGTGATTGAAGTATCTCAGTCATCAATCGTTTATTTACGTCTTCATTTTTTTCTTTTAATAGAAAATTGATTGGAATAATTACGCAATGTTGTGACGTATCATCACTACTGGAGAGACATGGAAAGCCTCTTAACTTGAGAATGTCGGGTAAACCGATTTAGGAATTGATATCGTTATCTGAATGACTCGAGTAGCGTTATCGAATCTTCGTAACGATCACGTTTAATTATGGATCGCGATGCCGAGATGCCATTCTCATGACATGTTCTTAATTAATACGAACTCTGTAGGTGACATATCTATGAAAGTCACGCGAGTTTGAATCGTTGAAGCATCGTTATTCTTTCGTGAGATATATTTTTCAATTTTTTTTGAAATTACGAAATATATATCTACTTATACTTATTATACCTCCGTATAATAAAACATAAGATATCTTAATTAACACAAATGGTTTTAATAAAATACTAAAAATATTCTAAAGATAAAGAATATAATTTATAAATGAAATTAGATGAAGCATTTATGAAATTTTTTCCAAATTTACAAATTGATCAGGATGCTAACTGATCAATCAAATATAAAGAGAAGTTAGTAAATATGAAATTATCTATTGTTCGAGCTAATTTTGTAACAAATAATATTTTGAGATAAATTCTATTTGAACTATATTTTATTAGATAATATGAGTTAATAACGGACGCGCGAATTTCTTGAAAATTATTGCAGTGTTCCTCATGGGAAATCTTTAAACATTGTAACAGACATGTAACACCTGGCGACAGGTGCTAAGGGAGAATATTTGAACTGTTTCGCACTAAATGTCAAAGGAATTCTGTCTAATAATATCGCGAATATTATCGAGAGGATTTGTTATTGCTTACATTATTTTGTTAAAGAGAAAAAAATTTATTAATATAATTTTAACTCTCTAATTTTAAAACATTAATACATAAGTCCCTATTTCGATTCTTAAATATCATTACAAAATATGTGTTTTATAAATATTAAATTTACATCAATAATAGATGTATATATATATATATATATATATATATATATAATTATATATAACAAGCAAATAAAATATTTATTTTACGCAAGCAATTACATTAAAATTAATTAAAATATTATATTATAAATATTATTAAAATATTATAAAATAAAATAATAATTAAAAAATAAAATAATTGAAAATTTATAATCTCCTTAGATTATATATTAATTGTAAAAGTTTATTGCGCCATCAATTTTCCCATGAACTGAAATTATATAAACTGTATGTATTTACGTCGTATCGTACGAATTGATGTAACGATGACAGTGGAGACAGAAAATTTATATTTGAATACTGTAATTACGAAAATCCAGTTTTCTTCAGGTATAATAATTATATCTACAATGTTTCCCTACTGCTTAACTTTTTTGGATTGCTAGAGCACATAATTCATAGTGGTCATTATATTTTTATCGTGACGCCTTGATTAATATCTAGCGGGATAACGGATATTAAGAGAATATTATATGCAATTTATATATCAATCATGTTACCACACAAGCGTATGTCGCCTATGTTGCAACATTGCGCACTATACACTAACAATAATTTAAGGTTTCGATAACAGGAAAAATCACGTATCGATCGATAGTCGTTGTAATTTTAATACATTTGAATATATTACCGCACATATCAGGCTTGCTTAATTTTTTTAAATTCATAAGTCATCTCACGACGTAACTCCATACCATATTGACGAGACAACTCTATGAGAGCAAAAGGGCCAAATGTGTTAGAGGCTGTTGCATCAAAATGATAATTTGCGATTTAATTAAAAGACGCCTGATAACGGTTCGCACCCCGTAAAATATAGTAAATAAAGTCACGTGCGCATGTAGTTAGACTACTTTTCTGTTTTTAATTGGAAAAATATTCTTATGTCAACTTTAAATAATATTTTGTATGCGCGTGCAGATTATTTTTTTCACCATGCGACATGTTTTATATTTTTTGACGGATCCTGTTTTTCCAATTTTGTTGCAATAAACTGGATTTAACGGATCTTACGACATAGTTAAATAACGCACACGCGTAAAATCTATGGCACTGAACAACTATTGATTTTTTAACTTCCGCTCTTTCAACAATTTCCGGCTCTTTCTCTCATTTTTCCTTCTTCTCTTCATCGCGGTTTCGTTCGTGACTTTCTTACGGGACATTACATCCTGTTCGACAAAATAGTTTCCACTTCTTTCGACTGTTGCCTATCATCGTCATCAAAATTAGATTTTTAGATAAATTTTCAAAGATCGCTAGTTCTCGGAAAACTAAATATGTGTAAAAAATTTTTCTTTCTTATCTCTTTTTTATCGTAACTTTATTTTGTAAAATGTGTTGTTAAAATAAAATTTGTTACAATCCAAAAAGAATTGATTTCATAACGATTTTTAATTTAAATTATTATCTTGTATATTAAAAATAATTGTATAACATATTAATGGCTATTATTAATAAAAAATTATCTTAAAATTAATTAAAATAATTTAATATGAATTTTAATAATATAAATATTTAATAATATAAATTTTACCTAAATCTACTTGTTCTAAATTTGTTACTAGTATTATTTCTGGGAATTTTTTTAAGTATATTCATTTTGAACGATCTTTAATTTCCTTGTGATGTATCTTATCTTTGAGTCTGCTCTTATAGATATAGACTTTCGTTAATATTTTTTTTTAGTTGGCTTTCCTCCAACGTTCTTCTTTCTCTCTGATTTTATTTCTTCAAAAATATAGACTACCTCAGCATAAACCTCATTCGTGTCTCACGATCAAATCGATCACTTTAACGGTTCTTGACATCTGTCAATGTTCTAACAGTACATAAATAAGTAGTTAAGATTCCAATTCAGTAATTAACTTTTTTATTAAATGTAAATATTGCGTACATGTAGAATTATCGATCGCCATTCTCTATTTTCTCAAACACTCGTTTTCCTATAAATTATAAATAAAGCAGTTGATGTACTTTTGTAAAAACAAATAATTTATTTCTCTAGACATTTATTCTTATTAATAGACACATAAAATTGAAATATATTTCTTCATCTTCGATATTATTATTGTTGTCAATCGCGGTTTTCTCTTCATCGACCACTCTATCTATTTCCAAACGATTCTTTTTCTATTTAGACAACATTGCACGTCCTTTTTACTTTTACCGTTATTTCCTTCGTTCTTCTTTCTTTTTATTAACTGCTGTATAAATTCTTATTATTTGAAAATATGATAATGTACCCAAATCGGCCATTGCCATTTCCATTCATTGGATAGTATACAATATCTTTTCATTATTATCTTCTTGACCTTCTTAACGATTCTCTTGTTGATGCTATCTTCAGATGAAATTTTTTACGTGATGATTTTATCATTTCTCTTTCAATTCTTCCTTTTAAAGCTTTATCTTTCTAATATACACCTTATTATCCAAGAAATATAATATTTATGAATTCTTTATAATTGTAACAAAGTTCATTTTCTTCTTTTCGAGATTATCAGCTTCTTCAATCTTTCTTATCTTCCTCATCGATATTTCCGGTGTCTCGAGTCTCCTTCATTAATTCATCAAGCATTTCTTGTTCCTCAGCTGTGAGAGTCGCTCTGTTCACGAAGTTTGCAATATTAGCTGCGTGTAGCATCAACAAGCGCTTTCTCTCCTCCTTCGCGCGTTCCGCCTCAGCTAGTTCCAATCTCTGTTGCTCTTTGGCGATTTCCTCAATCTTGGCAATCTCCTCCTCGCGAATCCTGCGGCGGTGCTCAATCAAACTCTCCAGGTCCTTCCGATACTGCACTTTCATCCTTCTTTTCGCCTCCGCCGTACACCTTGCCATCTTCTCGTCTTCCATAATCTTCCTTATGACTTCCTCGGCCCATGCTTTATCCTCCTCCACGAAACGCAATCTGCACTGTTCCGTGAAGACTATCTGTTCCCGTAAACTAGCTGCCAGTTCTTGCTTCATCTTTTTCCTACGCATCGCCTCCTCCATCTCCCTGATTACGAGCTCGCATCTGATCTCCTCTGCTACAAGATCAATCAGTCGCTCTTCCTTCTCTCGTTTTCGAGCCTGAGCGTCCAGCATTATCCTCGTCGTTTCCAACAGGACACGCTCGCGCCTCTCTATCTGCTCCTGTCGGAGTCTGTTCACCTCCTTCGACCTCTCCTCTATCTCCCTCAAGTACTCTAGATCGTCCCGTCGTTTCTTCTCTTCCGCTTCACGCTCCTCCTGTCGTCGAGCCTCCCTCATTTCCTCGAGGATCAGTCTCTCTTGCCTTGTTCTCTCCACAAGCTCGCATTTCTTCTCCAACGCCCTTGAGCGCTCCTGCTCTTCCTGCACTCGATCCACTTCTTCTAAGAACTTCCTGTATTCGCGAGCTTCCTCCACGATGACTCTTTTCTCTTCCTCCTTCCGTGTCAACTGTTCGTCCAGCTGCCGCCTGTACTCCTTCGTCTTCTGTAGGATCTCCGATCGATATCGCAAATCTTCCTCCAACACTTCCTGTTGTCGCTTGTAGGTTAAGTCAGCACTCTCACGTTTTCGCATGAGTTCGATGTATTTGCGGGTTTGCCTCTCCTCGAGTTGAACCTGCAGCCCTTTCACCATATACGCACGTCGTAATTCAGCTGCCAATTCCGCAACCGCATCATAAGACTCGCGATTGCGGCAACTGCGACGAAACTTGGCGACATACAAAGCGCTCTCGTTGCTCGAGGCTGTCCCTTCCATGATCGTTAATTTCAAATTCTTGCCTTATGAAGGCGAAGATTGTACGATTGTACAGACAGATATCGTGGAATTAGACGTAAGCCGTTGATTAGGCGGAGTATGTTTTAACACGCTGGAAGCTGGTCATAATCTTCTGGTTTTGCCTGCAAGGGTTAGGCTAGTTCATTATAGCATTGTAGAATGGAAAGAATGAAAATTAACTTATATATACATATATTTAAAAACATATGAAAAACATAATAATTAATTTATAAATATTAATATATATATATATATATATTAATTTTATTAAATTAATTATTTAAGCTTTATATTATTTTATATATATAAATATATATATAAATTTTATTACATATAAAAAAGTAATATGAAGCTTTGCATTTCAATATTTAATATTTAATATTATATAATTTAATATTGTCATAATTATTTACATTATTATTAATTAATCTTTTTTTATCACTGTTGTAGATACACCTCATTTCTAGAAATTAAATATGCGTAGAGTATCCCCATAGCGTACTGTTGGAAAGCTCATGCATTAAACATTGCACGAGCATTGTTTTAGTTGATTTCTGCTCGTTAAGCGAACCGCATCATACTGCGTTTTTTGTGTCTGTACATTTTTCTATTCATTCCCTACTTCTTGAAGGCTTATACGACGCGCTAATTAATTAACGCGTTTTGATTCGACATCGCGCGGCTCACGCGGGAAATACATTGCGGCGAGAAAGATGCAGTCGGCTTGTCAGCAACAAAAAATTCCTCGCGATGCGGCTTGCATCGTTGCTACGAGTCGCATTTGCATCTCGTATGACGCGAGACTTATGCTCGTGCACCGAGCCGCATTAACGTCCAGATTAACGGTAGGTAGCCTTCGTTGGCTACCTCTTCTTCTTCTTCTTCTTCTTCTTCTTCTCTCCTCCCTCCCTCTCCCTCCCTATTTTTTTCCTCGCGGAACTTGAGTGCGCTTTGGGAATGTTCTCACACCGTTGAATTGGGTTAATCCAAATTTAGCGGTGAACAGGAGAAATGGGCTACGATGTACTTTTTCCTCTAATGACTCTATTGTTGATAGTAATGAAAACGAAAACTATCGTTAGGTCTTGGCCTCGATACATAAAGAGGATCTTGAATTTACTCGAATATTTCTTCAGATGTTTTTGTAGTAGATAGAGTAGACGCATGTCTGTTGTCATACAAATAAAGTGATTATTTCCAATAACTTATAGAAATGAAATACGGATTAAAGACGAGATAAAGTAAAATGAATGAGTAATCGCAAAGCGATTAGCTTTTCTATTTACGATCAAGAAGTAAGAAATCACGAAAGTGAAATGGATGTAATTTACTATCTATTATTAATAGATATTTCCGTGTTATTAATACTTAAATTTATCGGCGAATTTTTAATTGTCCGCCTACGTGTGTTATATATATTCGTTGTGTATTCATTGGTACATTTAATAACATGGTTGGAGAGATCTTGATAGTAAATTGACATAAATGTGATTTATTTGTGTGATATTTGCTAGAAGATGGAAGTGTTTGCTTCTACAACAGGATGAAGCGCGCATTACATACGAGGATCAATCTGGAACGTGACGAAATGATTTACAAATCATCGTTCGAGTTTTCTAAAAAGATACCAAGATTGAATCAGCATTCTGTTTCTATGACTTTGACATATGCGTTCCACAATCGCGAGCCGCTTGTTCGGCTAAAGCAGCTGCCGGTTTGAGTATAGGGCTGTAATTTACTGGAGTGCCCACACAGTTAATGTACGTTCTATCAAAACATCAATGGTAGAATTTTGCAGTGTAACGCTATTGACAGGTCAATAATTTTTTCAGATCATTTCTCAGCTCAACAATTATTGGTCTACGTTTAACAAATATAAATTCAAATTCTGAAAAATATATGAGTATTTGACATAAATCAATATAAAAATTTGCGTCTTACAAATATTACAAATAACTTTGTTAAAAGTATATTAAAAATTATATAATAAGAAATTTGCAAATGTTTTATCATGATATATTAATTTTTAAGAAGCTTTTTAAGTAACATTATAATATATTATAAGCTTTATAAGTAAAATTTTATTTTTTAGATAAAAAGGATTAAGCAAAATTATTTCTGAGATAACAAATTTTCAAAATTTTTGCGTATTAGTCACAAATGTAAAAAGTACATGATATTTAAAAAGTATAATGATTTTCGATATATAAGAGAATAAAAAGGACAATAGCTCCAAAAGAATTGAGCTTAGGTAATGTTCTTGGATGATTCCAAGCCACTTTTTCGATCAAAGTGACGATTCCTGCTCAACGAACCATTTTATTTTATGTTTGAACAACGATATAATTGTTGCCGACCGTAAAACGTATGTAAACTCTACTAATAGGCGCAATATCGTTTGCTTAGTGAATAGTTCGAGCATAGCACGGCGCTCTATGCATATGCAAGAGATTTTATGGAATAGACGTTTTACGAAACCTGAGTGTTTTAGCCTCATAAATCTAGTAATTTAGTTGTAAAAACATTTAAAAAATTAATAATATAGTTTGTATTTTAAAAAATTTTACGTTAATCATTATAAGAATTTAATTTCTAAAATTATTAAATAAGAAAGAGAAAGAAAGAGGAAATCCTGTGGCAAATTAAAACTTAGTAAGCATTTTCATAATTTTTCACTACAAATTTTAAATATCACTTCTTGTTTAATATATAATATTTTTGCTTATATGCAATAGAAAGTAAAAAAAAAATTTATATTACATTTTGTCTTCTTGAAAAAAATTCAATGTAAACAAAAAACGTGTTTTCTATCAATGCAAATGATAAAAACATTTTGCAATAATATTTCCCTTCTTCTGATAAATTTATTCCAAGTAAGATAGAGTGCAAATGTTTTTTTCTAATTGTATATTTCATTAAACTAAATTATGTCTTTCTCAGTTTTTCGAGAAAATTTAGTATATTTAAGATTCTCAGTTTTTACCACTACCTATCATTATATATACATCGAAAGTAAAATCTCATCAATTAAGCGATGTTCGCGCCGCATTTTTTCAACGAACCGTGAGATCAACGGCGGATGACTTCGAATTCACAAGGACGCCTGCGCGGTGGAATTGCAATGAAAACAGGATAAACGTACCTTCCGCGCGCAAGTCCAGGTATACCAAATTCGTGGATGAATCGCAGCAGCCACGTGCACCAAAAACACTATATGCATAACAATAGAAGATACATCGAGAAACAAAGGAATCCGTCCGTTCTTTTTTTTTTTTTTTTTTCTCACGCCGGATGTGCTTGGGACGGGTGCGAGTCGCGGGGCGACGAGTCCGCGCCGCCTCGGATCTCCTTCGTCGTTTCCGGTCCCGTCAGCTCGCCGGCACGGAGCACGAGACTTGGAGAACGCACTTGCTTAATACGAACACCACGGCGGATTGAGACCGACTAACCGGCTTTCCGCGTCGGAGCACACGCGAACCGTACACAGCTCCGCTCTTTGCCGCGGCCCCTTTAAACCCATCCCTCCAACGGGCCCCCGAGGGAACCGGCCGGATGGGTTCCTACGGCCCTGAGAATGGACGTCGGGGGCGTGTGATTATGCACGAGATGCCAGATACCGCGTGCGGGAAGAGAGCGAGGGTCGAAACATGTCGGGGTATTTGACTCGATTTCGTAACCGCAGCGACCTGATGGTTGCCGAATAACCACGTAGTTAAATATGATCTCTAAATATATTTGGATGTATCTCTCTGAATACGCAATTTGACTGCGTCAGCGAGACGTGGTCTATAGAGTATATTTGGGAGAAAGCGACAATGAATGCCGTAAGTTTAATTTAAAAAGTCACTAGGTTTAACAATTGGATATTTAAGCGGAGATATTAGCTCGACGATCGATAAGATAGGATAATTGGTTGCTTTTACATTAGGTGTTTGTCTGGGAAAATGTAAAAAAGTTGTAATGTAAAGGTATTAAGATGTGTAATGTCTAAATATCTTTAAAATGTTTACGAGGTTTATTTGGTATTTTATTGAAATAACATCTTCTTTTTGTACACATTCATAATTTAATTTTTGAGGCAGCTATATTATCATTTATATAAAAATTGAGATTTTTCTAAAAAAAAAAAAAACTATTACTTACGAAGTTTAATAAATGTCAAATCTTGTATTTAACAAAAGAGAGAGAGAGAGAGAGAGAGAGAGAGAGAGAGAGAGAGATGAAGAATTTTATAAATAAATAATTAATATTAAAAGTGTTACAATAACTGGAATATGCTGCATTTACGAAGTTGCAGTCCTGTAAAAAGCAGCGTACAGGAATGCATGTTTCCTTATCTTAATTTACTCCGTTCACGAAGCGCGCCGAAAGGCAACGCGCAAGTGCCGGAACATAAACGCAAATTGGTTCCATTTTTATGAATTTTGATAGCGGTTGTCGGCCATCGCCTTTCGCACTTTTGCAAGAACCTGTTTCTGCCTCTCTCGCGGTTTGTACAGAAACACCGCGTAATTGTACGAGGATCCGAGATTCGCGCCAATCTCGACGAAAATTCTGACGGTACAAAGTACGAAGTGAGAGATACGGAGAATGTTCGTATTTAGAAGTAGTTTTAGTTAGCTGGAGGGACGGACTTGACTTAATAGCACTCATTATTAAAATGGGCTCAACGGTGGTGGCGGCGGCGGCGGCGGCGGATTACTCCTTAGAAAACCGGTCGCTTTAATAGAGCCATAAAGAGACTTGATATGAGGAGAGTGACACTAATCACCGTAATATGCAAGCGTCCTTATTGTCCAGTCACGCCTCTCGAGTAACTCGTCCTTATGCGCACGAGCATGAAAAACTGCAGAATTTAATCTTGGAAAAGTTTAATTAAAAAAAAAAAAAGGTCAAAACCCAGCATAAATCTCGTGTCGAAGATAACTAATATATTCATTTCTCGCCAAGAAGACTAATAGCATGATAAATATGTGATA